GGCAGCTGCTAAGCAAGCGGAAGAGCAGTGGCTGGCCAAGGAAGCTGCAGAGGTGGAGGCTGCCAGGCAAGTGGAAGAGGAGCGGCTGGCCAGGGAAGCAGCGGCGACAGCTGCCAAGCAAGCGGAGGAGGAGCGGCTGGCCAAGGAAGCGGCAGAGGCGGTAGCTGCCAAGCAAGCGGAGGAGGAGCGGCTGGCCAAGCAGACGGAGGAGGATCTTTCGTTCAGGGAAAGGATGTCAGTTCTGTCAGTTCAGTTTTTGGCAGATATTTATTTGGAATATGACGCGCTGTGCAGTACCTTGATGGCTTTCCTGAAGGTTCATGGGACCCAGTGCTCAAAGGTGGGTCTACAACTATGCTTATAGTTAGAGAGGAATATGGACACGGTTCAGCGTAGTTACGAAGCCCCTTGAACTTCCAAGTTTTTTGGGATGCGTTGAGTCATTGAGCACGCACTCCCTGCACCACACGACGCTTTGGCAGGCCACTCATGAGCCAGACGAGCACGTCCGCATTGTGCCTCAGAAGCAAACCAGCGGAGAGGCACCCATGACAGTCAGAAACGTACAAGTGCTAGCGCTCGCATGGTCGCTTGCTGACGAATATCCCGCTGGCATCCGCTGGCCGGCAGTCGTGCAGCCCAATCTAAGCTATCTTCCCACCAGAGTGTCAGGCAAAGGGCTCCTGTGAGTTTGGGGCTCACGTGACGACACAGCGCAACTTAAGCGGCGGCTTGCCCAGCCTGTTTTCAGCTTGTTCGTTGGGTGATTCCCTGAAGTGCACAACATGTGCCACTATGAGGTGGTCTTCACGGCCAAGGCTTCATGGCAAAGCTTCAAAAAGGTCACCTTGCGAGTGAAGTGGCAATGCCTCATCGTGCTGGCTTGCACTTCTTTGACAGGTCTCGAGGGTCTTGGGCTGACTGTCCGTCTCCATCCTGATTTGCAGACTGGCAGCTACCTCAGCGGTGGCCGAGCCACACAGTACACAGGGACCGTCAGACGGATCTGTGCCAGCGCGTTCACGTTTTCTTGGGGTAGGCTATGGTAGGCTCCACGGAGAAACAATCTTAGGTGTTCTGGTTGTCGACGTTCACCCACAGGCGCCGCCCTCAGTTGCAGCAGTTGCCTGCCGTGTCAGCCCTGCCAAGTAATTTGCGTGGCAGTGCAGCTTTGGCCTCGAGTTTCTGTGAATCTTTCACAGTCTGAAAAGCTTATATTGGACCATGGGACAATCCACAGATGCAACATGAGGCAATCTGAACTGTGGACTAAGTAGCCGCAACAACAGAGCCGCTGGCAGAAAGCACGTTCACGAACGACTCTTTCGTGATGGGCTGAGGGCTCTGTGGCCAAGTACAACACGCAACAGCGCGCATCAGGCTCCTCCATGTTAATTCGTCCCAGGACTGACACATGAAGTCGAAGCAAAACAGCACAGCCCATGTGGCGAATGCTTACTTGCAAAATTTGAGGATGCTGATCACGGAAGTGAATGGCATCCAAGGGAACGCTGAGGCCATGCTTGAGGCCTAGGGTCTCGAAGTTGCAAGTGACTTTTTTCTAGTTGGTTAACATATCATCCGCTTCTTTTGTTGAAGGCGCTTTGTCGAAGCCTTTCGTTGCAGTTGCGGTTACGCGTGAGACCCGGGGTCAAATTCATCATCATCATCATCATCATCATCATCATTTCACTTCGGTGGACAGCAGATGCGTAAAGTTGGGCCGGCCTGTGCGTTTAAGCTTCGTGCTGAGGGTTGGGCCCACCTGTCTGCCTCTACCACAGTTGCCATAGTTGAGGTGCGGCCAGTGCAACAGAGCTGGCTGAACGAAAACATGCATCTCCAAAGGCAGGGATGCGCAATACATTGCAGGTTTTCACTTTTATTGTTGAGCAATTTAGGTGGGATGGCTTAGGAGATTGTATCCATGATGAATGCGATACGCGCCGTTCGCATTCTGCAAAGTACGGAAAGTCTGCCGCCGTGGCCTCAGCAGGACTCGGGCAGGGTCTGTGCAGTTCAAAGTGCGACATAAACAGACGGATTTCCAAACCAGGGTTCTGTGGAATCCCTTTGTAAGATAGTGTCTTTGCAGCTTTTGTGATGGTCTATGTTGTGCCATTTTGGTAATGTCTGTCAGATAACAGAAGAGTGCGAGATTCGGCAGACTCCACGCTCACGCTCCTGAAATGCATCCATCACAGTTGGTAGTGCTGTTGTTTGCGAGGGTGCTGGCATTGCCGAGGCGAAGCCGATCCCGCCATTCATGAGCAGGGCAGAATTTGCAAAGGCAACGAACTGCACATCTTCTGTAGGAGCTCGGCAATTGTCCCAAAGATGGACAGGTGCTAGAGAAGGCTTTGCGGCTTTGAGCTGGCTACTTACCATGACCTCCCATGAGAAAACAGGAAAGCTGCTGCCCAAACCCAAACAGCGAGACCGGAAAAGGTCCAGACCTGTCCAGACTAGTTTCATGGTGTGGACGACATTGTGGACTATCGTCCTGTACGGATGCTGGCACAAGACCAGTGCACGTCACCAGCAAAATCGACATGCGCTGACGGTAGTTTCGAGTGTAGGATTGAAGGCCGTTGACAGAAGCCATGAACAGGATGACTCAATCATGGTGTCATGCTTTTACTCTATGGCTGTCTTGGCGCAAGCTGAACAGACAAAGCGGGGTGTGATCCGCGCGAATGGCCCGGCGAGCAATTAGAGCCTGCAGAGGCGAGCGCTGCCCATGGAGGTGGTAATGCCAGAGCGTCGGCAGCAGCTCCTGCTTTCTGGTAGATTGATCGGGGAGGCGCTGGCTCAAGATGATTACTTCCTTTCCTTGGAGGAGTCCTGCGCACCCGGAGTTGGCAGCGCGGACTACGATTTCACATCGCCACAGTTTACAGCGGAGATTGCTGGCAACGGATTGCCAAGTTTTGGTGCTGCACCTTGGACCCGGCAGGGGGTGCTTCCAGACATCCAAAGATTTTGGCGCTCCTTCGATTCACGCATAGTTCTATGGAAGTACACCGACCCTGGCATGCAAGAGATGACTGACTACACTGGCGTCCGGACCCATGTTGTCTCTGCGCATAGTGTTCGCAGATCCCAGGTTCTGTTTGATATGTACATCGAGTGAGTAGTTGGAAAAGTACATAACATCGAAGGCGCGTAGCGCAGGGGCAAGATTTCACACATCATGATTTACCAAGCTGGCGAACGCTCAGCTGACACCACCAAGGTCTCACAGCCAATTGTTGCTGCAGCCGTCTCCCGGCCAAAGGACTTCATTGTCGAGGCAGACTACTTTCTGATCTTGGCAACTTCGCTGGAGATATCATTGCATGCTCTGCGGTTCGCTCCAGGTAGTGATCGGTTACTGGCTCCCATGCGTACTCAATATGCTGTTGCAAGCGATGATGTCTTGACAACTGCCTTGACCTCGGATGTCAGCAGTGGCCGCATTTTCCTTGGTGGAAATGATGGCTGCATCCATGAGCTGCAGTATTCACAAGATGAATCCAGTTGGTTGCGTAGGCCAAGGAAGTGTAGAAAGGTTGCAATTAGCTGGAACTTGCAGTCTCAGCTGCCTGCGGCTTTGCAGCGCATATGCACGGCTGTATTTGGTCAATCAGAGGCTGTTGTGCAGCTGGCCACTGAAGCTTCAAGAGGATATCTCATCGCTTTGTCTTCGCTGTCAAACATCTCCGTTTTTCATGTGCCGCAAAGCCAGAGGAATGCACAGGGCCGTTTGGAAGAGAGACCGGTGATACAGCTTTGCTCAATATCGCAATCAGCCATCGCGTCTGAGGTAGGTCGTATCAAAGCCAGGCTGTTTCCCGGATTGCTGGCAATGGGCTCAAGAGGCCTCACCACATTTGGTGCAGTTGCAGCTGCAACAGGCCTTGCGTCAGCACCGCCCAAACTAATCAAAGTTTGGCCTGTGGAGAAGACACAAGGTGGCAGCATCGTTGCTTGTGTGATTGCTGAAGATGGCACCCGCATTTTTCTACGCGGCGTTTGTCGCAGCACTTCCTCCAGCATGCCATCCACAATCTCCACAGATGGAAGTGCACAGGGCAACCAAGTCCAGCCACGAGGCAGTCAGATCACCTCTTTGGCCGTTCACCATGTCCGATTTTTAGATGCGCTTGCACCTAGAAACCTGAGGGTGAAAGATGCCTTGTGGGAAGATGGTGTCACACTGTTGCACTGCCAAATGTCTGACGCCAATCCATCTCTGCAGGCCGGGAGAGGTGCAGGGGGCAGTGAGGCCGTGGACGCAGTGGAAGTGGTGATTGCATTGAGTACAGACCTCCGTGTAGTTGCCCAAAAGCAAGGTCGCAATCGGTCTCCTCTGCTTCAATGCGCCAACATGGCGGAGCACGTCGACACCATTCACCTGAATCGAAGCGGCTCCACATTGCCAGAGATCTTCGGACTTGCCACCTTGCCGCGTCCGGTATCAAAACCGGTTGATGCACTGTTTGGCCGACCTGGGAATGGCTTGGTGCTGCCAGTGGTGCACCTGAGTGAGCTCGCAAAGCAGCAGCTGGTCCCTGCACCCTCCTTCATCATAGTTTCCTCCATTGGTGCTCATATCCTGAGGAAGATGCAGCCAATAAATATGCTGCGAGATTTCTTGCTAAACGGCAGCGTTATGCAGCTGCAGGAGTTCGTCAGCCAGTACACAGCTGAGCAGGTTTGTGCTATGTGCTTCCAGATTCTAACGCAGGCAATTCCGAAACTCGCTCGTACTTCTCGGACAGACATGGCGGATGCCTCTACAGCTTCTCGGAACAAGCTGAGGGGCATGGCCAAGAACAACTTATTCACCGAACCCAAACTGCTGACAACTACGACCAACCAGCGAGACCCAGCAGAAGAAGTGTTGTTGCTTCGCACAGAGCAGTTCTTGCTGTCGCCGCAGTTGTCAGTACAAATGGGCTTCTCACAGGTGCTGCCCTCTCTTGAAGGAAGATCGCACCCTCAGGCTTTGGTGCAAAATACTCCGCTTGGCTACTCGGTGATGTTTCACAGCACAGCTCGCCTATCTGCACGCCTCAGGGGCCTCTACTCGTATTTGAGCAGGCTGATCCGACCCTTCTGGCTATCCCCCATTATGCTCGTGACGTGGCCTCCGGCTCCAGCAGAGAAAGCCAAGAGGAAGCGTGACGAATGGTGGCCTCCACCACCTGACCCGCCACCGATTGCAAAAGGTGCGCAGTGGAAATGTGCCTTTTCCAAGTGTCAGCGGTCCTATGTGCAATCTGAATTGTCGCTTCTCAAGACGTGTTTGGATCGTTGTCTCCCGCGTCTGCTACGAGCAGAGCCAAGCCTAACAGACATGGGTATTATGCCAAATTCTCAGGAGGAACAGGATGCGGCTCACGGGGCAGCACAGATTGTTATTGCTTCTTTGGAAGCCCTGGACTTCCTGGATCTTCTGTCTGGCTGCACAACAGCCATGTCATCTGGGTGCTGTTCGGCAGAGGTATTGCAGCGCTTTTCTGAGCTGACCTTTCGGGATTTGGTCTGTCAACCTGAGGCACGACAGGTGCTGCAACAGCTGATGCAAGCTGGCATTGTGGCTTGCCGAGACCTCTCAAGGTGCCCTACACTTTTCAGTCAGGCAGACCTAGAGATCCAAGAGAGTTTCGAGGTCCTCGGCATGGTCCATACAAGCTTGAAGGCCGCCGGAGCGACAAGCATGTTGGAAATTGCAAGGCTAAGCGGCATGACCCACCGGGCCTTGTCTGTTCTTGAGCGGCATGCGTCGCATGTCAATTTGGCAGAGGCAGCCAACCGACTTCGGGCTGTAGGGGCATGCAAGGCGCCATGGTTTCAACAACTCCGTCATGCTTGTCATGCTGAGCTACAGGGTTTTATTTGGAGAGGTTCGTTGAATTCATTGTGCTCCGACACCTCTAGCTCTCTGTAAAATATCATCATGTGGATTTACTGGGTTCATCCGAAGTTGCCTTTCTATGTTGATGGGATCCATGTCTGGCCAGGTTCAGGACATGAGCTGTCACAATGGATGTGGGGCGGGGGGGAGCTGATTGAATTGGCACTGAAGGGCTATGGAGTTATGATTTTACCGACTATTTTGACGTGATCATTGAACGACCCTGCCAGGGACTTGTGGCACTTTGTTCCAGCGTCGCCAGGGCCCGAGATCCAAAAGATGAGGCCATGAGGCCGCATGATGCTTCCAATCCTCGCATCCAACAACTGCACTATGCCCGACTTGAGTGCTACCAGGTGGTTCTGGGAGTTCTTGACAACTTCTTGTCCTTCGCAAGGCAACGCCCAGGAATGCAGAGCAATTTCGCTCTTCTGCAACCACTACCCGACGGCAGCAGCAGCAGCAATACCACCAGTCCTGTTGTCCTGTCAGATTTGCCGGAACTGTTGCCCCCTCAAATTCAAGAGAGCGATGCAGTTTCTATCCTGGATGCGCTGCTTCGTCATTGTCTCGAGGGGCGGCAATATCAAGCAGATGAGCTTTTCCATTTCTGTGTCCTAAAGTGGATGATGCAGTCTGGACTGCCGCCATATCAGTACAAATCGCCGTACCTCAAGAATTTTTTGCAGGTGCATGCCAAGGACGACCCTGAGATGTTGTGCAAGTACCTGCAGCACAATGGGCGTTGGGCGGAGGCTTGTGACGCATACCTCTCCTTGGCTCGGACTGTAGACCGAGGCAGCTTGGGCAGCTCGGGGATGGGGGGCATGGCCAGCCAATCGGGCTCTCAGCAGGTCCTCCTCCTCCAGAAAGCTGCAATGTGTGCTCGGATGCCGCATTCAAACCGACGTGTCGAACCAATCCTCCGCATGATGACGGATGTAGCAGCCACACAGCCAGAAGACGCTGACGCTTTCAGTGTACGGAGCGCAGGAGCCAGAGGACCGTTCTTGTAGTTGCAAAAAAGCTGGAGACACCAGCAGATGCGCAAGGCTGCATTGATCCTCGTAGTTCTGTGTTCTTGGCATGTATAGATGTACGTGGTTGTGTATGTGGCTTGGGGAGGTTCTCTTGCAACAGGAGTTGCTGAGGAGTGAGGAGTGGCAAATCGCAAGATCAAATTTTTGGTGGAGATGATGATACTCGGATACTTCAGTCTCATTGACAGGCTCAGCTCTTTCTATCTCGAAAGGTCAAATGGCCGTGCATCTGAATCTGCATATGGTCATTTTGAACTCCCAATAGAACCTGGTTTCCTTGTTCGTACTTTGGTGATTTCAAAGTCTGTTGACGCTTCTCATTTCGGAACATCTGCTAATTAAGAAAAAGCTCGAGTTCGATGGGGTGTATGCTGACAGAATTCTGAAAAACTTCTTCATTGATGGAATCCGTTTCTAGAAAGTTTTATGTTCATGTCTTTCAGAAATTTCCATTTTCCGAGGTTCATCTGAGCTTCAGTGCGCAAATTATCAAAATTGGCAATAGCAGCCTCTTTCCCATCTGCAGTCTAGCGTGCTGAAATACAGTAATGCTTCAATAATGTTGAAGGATCCATCGGTGCTTCATCTTGTCGTGTAGCAATGATGATATCACTATATCATGGTGCCTCATTGTAATTTTCAAGCCAGATAGATTCTTTATGTTCTTGGCGAGTCCGTGCGTGGGGAGCTCTGCAGAATCTGGCTTTTCGCATCTCCCGGAAAATGAGGGCGAGCCATTGCGCGTGGAAGAGCTCCAAGTGGCATTCACAATCGTTTTAAGTATTTGGCGACATGATTTGCTCATTGCACCCGCCCTCCAATCGCCCACTGCTGAGCTTGAGAGCTCCATGCTGTCAGGCTTATATCCGCCTATCGCTGAAAGGGCTTTCAGGGCACAAGCAAGCAAGCAACTGCAGAAAACAAGCTGTGGAGTAACGCCGACCTTGCGCTCTGGTCCTGCCTGTGGCATGGTGCAACTTCTACAAAAAAAGAGCATCATCAACTAGAGTCACTAGAGGAAGGCGTGGAATTCAAAGCCTCCGGTTTGGGTGCTCATTTGGCCAATGGTGCAACGATAAACTTGCAAGACTCAGTTGTTGTTGTCTAGCGTAGGGTGCATGGTGAGTTGCTTCGTCATGCTCAGATTTTTGGCTTGGAAGTTTTATGTCAGTGTCAGTGTCACCTGTTTTCATACCCCCCCCCTATTACTTGGACTGTAGACCTTTGATTTCGCGAAAACATGGCTCGGCCGTGGGTGTCAGCAGCATGGCTGCATGCCTTGGGGCTTGTTCTCCTGGCCTCCGGCAGTTACCCCGTTTCGCAACTTGTTTGTGGTGGCCTGAGCACATGCGCGATCCTGGCTGACTCGTCTTGGAAGTGTTTTGGCAACAACAATTTCGGCATGCTGGCACAGGGTTCAGGCAGTAACTTGGGCGATGGTGCCAATGAGATGGGGGACAACTTGCCCCCTGTTGATCTTGGCACAGGTAGAACAGCTGTAGCTGGTTGGGCATCCGGCTTTCATGTTTGCGTGATCCTGGATGATGCAAGCCTCAAATGTTTCGGGAGCAACGAGGGCGACTCTCACGGTTCTCTCGGCCAGCCAGATACAGTCTTGAGCGCCATAGGGATGACGGGTAACAACTATGGAGACCATGCTGGTGAATATGGCGACAATCTTCCAGCCATTGACCTTGGTTCTGGTCGCACAGTGCAACAGGTCTGTTCTGGGCAGGTTTTCGTGTGTGCTTTGCTGGACAACAGCGCGGTGAAGTGTTGGGGTCAGAATGACAAGGGACAGCTGGGCCTCTCGGTCTTGACTTGGCAGCTTGCACTGGCAAGATAGCGCAGTCAAAACCATTTCCCCAGAGAATTCAAACACGCAATCCCAAACGTATTCTCAGCTAACATGTTCAATCTATGTTTGAGCTCCTGAACTCAGACTGGCTTTGCGCCTGAAGGCTATGGTGACACAGACTCCCGTGGATCCACTGAAAGCTCTATGGGGGATGGCTTGCCTGAGGCACTGCACACGTGTTGCATGGGTGAGCAACGAAGGGTTAGGATGCAACTGCTTTGGTGCCAGATGTGGCCATTACACATGATAGTTCAAGTTTTGTTAACGATAATGCCTGTACTGGAAGGTAACCAGGCCTATCTAGGCTTCAAGATGTGTGCTGCACCCTGCCTTCCATCATTCCCCTGTCACATTCTGGAAGTCAGTGCTGCCCGGTCGCAACCAGAGACGAACATGACAGATTCCTGAACAGGGCACTAAGCCGCCTGTCAGGTGGACCTTGGGACAGGTCGGACTGCAAAGCAGCTGCAGTGTGGCAACAAGTTTGCTTGTGCCATGCTGGACAATGATGCAATGTTGCTTGGACGCTCCGGTGTCACGTTTCGCAAAGAATGGAAGCGTGATTCTCGAAGCAAATCACTTCATGTTGTTCTGACGACAGCTAAGGGTATGTTGGGGTGAGAACAATCGAGCTCAGTTGGGACAGGGGACGTCAGGATCAGAATCTTGGTTACACGTGGTGGCTGAGAATCCCTTATGACGAACATATTCTTATCAGTATCAGTGCCCAAAACATGCTCGAAGATGAACCGCACCATTTCCCACAAGGGGGTGCTTGCAGGTACGCTTCCTAGCATCTGTGACACACCATGAGTGAACTGGCCAAACCCGCTGTGACAATCGGTCCAGGCTTATTTGTCAGTTGTATGACTACGTTTTCACGCCGACTTGCTTGTGATGTTCAGTCAGACTAGCAACGGTCACCATGTTTACATGTTTTGTTGAGCTAAGGAGAGAATTGGTGACGAGGCCAATGAGATGGGAGATGCCTTGACACAGGTCACGTTCCCCTCCGGAAGGACCTTTGGCAGGTGTATTTTGCGTATTGGAATGGGGGGCTGTGCTTTTGCGTAATGAGGGGGCTTCAAGATCCTGTAAAGTCCAGGAATATACTTGTTTGCATGCTTCGCCTTCTGATATGGTGCGTGGTCAGCACCGGAAGCGGAAGGCAGCTGATCGCATGCACATGTGATCACCATGGACAATGGGAGTGCCCAATTTTTGTGGACGGGCCACCCGTGGCCTTAGAATCAGCAACGCAGAATTCTGAACCTCACAAAGGTCTTGCAGCCACTCGATGTAGTTGACAGGTCCTGGCCCTGCAGCCCACGCTAAGAGTGGGTGGAAAGAGTGAATCAGGATGTGCTTCGACCTTGATTCCACATGATTCTTCAGCAAATGTTCAGGAATCTCGCTCTTACTTGCACAGAAGGAATGGGCTGTATGCCCATGAAGTTCAGCAATTCGGCTGTGACCGCCGAGCAAGAGTGCTTTTTAGACAAGGGTCTGAACAGGAAGCTCCCATCTACAGACGACTTGACAGGACGCCCAAGTCTTTGGGTGTGGGCTACGAGCACACGTGTGTGATTTTGGATGACGACACGGTACTATGCTGGGGATACGGCAGCAGCAGCTACGGGCCAACTGGTCGCCTGGCTGCTCCCAGAGTTGTTTTCTTTGCGCAGTTGATTGCGCAGCCGCAGTCAGAACCTCCTTCGGATGCAAGCGTAGGTTATGGTGACGCACTTGAGCGCGGCGGCTCTAGTAACCCGGTCTCGGGCCTGCCTCCAGTTGATCTCGGCAGCGGCCGCACAGCAAAGCAAGTCGTAGCTGGTTACATTGCAACTTGTGCTCTTCTGGATGATGATTCTGTCAAGTGCTGCCCGGTTGAGTTGGCATCTGTTCAAGGATACCCCCAGCTGAGCAGTTACCAGGGTGGTACCCCCATATGAGGCTCAAAAAAGGCTCGCATAAGCTACCCACCTGGGGTTTCCTTGATCTGTGGCCCTGTTGGATTTTTTCTGGAGATGCGAACGATTGTTACGAGCGAGATCGCACGAACGTGCGAAAACTGATTCTGTTTCCTTTGAACCAACGCCGCCGCCGCAGCTGCTGCCGCCCCCGGCTGCCCCCGTCCCCACCACGAGCACCAACCAACACCAGCACCAGCACCAGCATCGGCACCAGCAGCACCAGCAGCACCAGCAGCACAAGCAGCGGCAGCGGCAGCGGCGGCAGCGGCAGCAGC